GGCTAGGTTTTCTACTCTAGCCTCTGGTTGTACGAAATACAGCCCTTCACACATGCAATTTGAGCGAGCTTCATGGAAAATTACAACCCGGTTGTACCCCATGAAGAACTGCATTGTCTAAAAAAATGGAGAACCGTATTCAAGATGAGATGTGGTGACTTCAGGTGAAGCGAACCATTCCGAATGTTGATAAGATTGGCTAAGTTGCAGATGCTCGAGTTCACAGGAGGGTTTTTCATGAATACGCCGAACTGCATCAAGACTACTTCAATGGCGAGAAGACCATGGATCAGAAGGAAGTAGTCTGCAAAGACAAGTTAACTAGTCTAAAGTACATTTTTCTTCATATTAAAGTGTGTAATTTTCCGCACTTGATGCAAATTCACTGGTTCCCTGCTAATCAGAATGTGAGCCTGTCTGCCTTAAACTCGAACAAGTGTGTGGCTTACGGTACATACCTGTGGTATGTCCTTCTCCATTTTAGCTGACTTCTCTCACCTTGTTTTTTTAACGTAGGGAGCAATGAATAATGCAACAAAATCCTATTTCTTCACCTAGTAGAATGCACCCACATTCGGTTAGGCAACTGTGCTTTGCGTGCCATGTTTTGTCACAGTCCTTATACTTGTCAAGGATTTCAGTGTAGGAGAAACTTTCCTGCGCCTGAGTTTTCACTAGATCATATGCACTGGAAACATCCCAATTTTGCTTTCCTTCTTTTCAGATAATTCCCTTGCTGTGATCATCAGAGTTTGTTGGCAGTAATATTAGCATCTTAATTTGATTAACGCTAACATGTTCTTTATTTTTGGTTCAGGCTTGTGTAATTTTAAACATTAAGAGATAAAATTTTGCTACATCTCTGCTATTCCTTTTCACTAATCTCCCTTTTACGGTTTTTTTGAATTACGTTTAAAATAACCTCAGTGAGCGGCTATGAGAAACGCCGGGATTGCAACTTCCATGTGTAAGTTTGGTGGGTTCCATGTATTGACCAAGCCATGCGTAGTTAAGAAGTTCGACAATGAAGAAGGTAACTCATAACTGGATGTTAAAGGTGGGTATAAACGCGGCTCCTGCGTCTGTATTTCGATCCGTCATCTACCCTCTGTAGTTCGACTGGCCCTATAACTTGAGTATTATCCTCTATCACCTGGAAGGAACGGTGGATAAAAGCTTTCACCTTTCACCAAGTCAGCGACTACCTTACCTTAGGCGATGGTTCTATCTACAGAAATACCTTTGTTCCCACTATCTACATTCAGAGTATGGTAAAGGAAGCTAGCCATACCGGCTTAAGCCACGTTTTCGCCTACTTTGTAGGAATTTAATTGGCTTTTACCATCATCTTTGTGATCTACGCTCTTGTAAAGTAAAACCAACCCCAATTTCCAGCCAAGCAGGCAATTTCGTCGTCTATTCCTACTGGCATTCTCTTTGATCTGGCCCAGTCCTCCTTGTTAATCACTAATGCAGCTTTAGATGAATCAATCACGTTTCCGGTTGTCACTACATGTCCAACCCTTTTTATTTTACTGGTGTGCATAGCCATTTTCAAGAAATTCCAGGTTTTTTATTGTCTACTTTAAATCTCCCAAATCTTAACCTGCCACCGAGGGTTCTGATTGCTGGAACCCTAACCAAGGCCTCCCTCTTGTAAGAAAACCCACTTTTATTGTGTTAAATTTTTAATTAAAATACGGAATTGCAATCCTTTTCTTTGTTTATATTCAGGAAGCTATAATGAACGACCTTTGGATATTGTTTTGTTTTCCCATTCAGGGTTCCTTTAATACGGGGAGGACGTACTGAGCCATGTCATGTGTGCTCGTATTTGAGTAGGTAGTGGTTGACTTGTTTATCCTACCCACCGTCATTTGATGGGCTCTAAATGCGAAGAGGAAATCATACAAGTAATGATTATGCGAGGGTTCTTTTTCATTCCGGTCCCCTAGTCACTCACCTTTCAATGCTAGAGCTAGTAAGTTGCTTGCGTTCCAGTTTCTAACCTTCTAATCTCCCATTTTAGATATCAAAATCGAGTCAATGGAAACACATAGGAAAAGCGGTATTTGCCTTGAATTTTTTGACTTCTTAGTCGTCGGCATTGAGCGTTGTCGAAACTTCCTCAAATTGGGTGACATTATCAGGAGAAGTGAATGTGACTGCTGGTGACTGCAACAATTCGAAGGCTTGCAAAAATAGCTTCTTTTCTCTCTTTTCTTGAGAAAGCCTCGGGTACCAAAAGGCAGGAAAGTTTGAAAAGAATTTTTGTTGTGGATTAAAAATTGGGGAGATTATAAGGTATTCGATCCAGCTGGATGTGCTGATTTATTCCAACTTCTGAAGGCAGGTCGACTGGATGCGACTGGTTGTGCTGATATTATTGGGCACAGAGTGTGTCCCTCTAGATGTGTCGGCGTTCCTTACTATGACTAAGACCCTCACACCCTTAATTGCAACATGAGGCCCCCTTACGGAAAGTTTATAAGGCTTAATGTTGATTTCTCTTTGCAATGCATGGTTTGGAAAGACTTTTTACAGGTCTACCAGTTTAGCGAAGCCGATGCGGTTTTTGGCGACTTGCGCATTTAGGGTTCCTGCAGCAGCAGCTTTCGTGAAATAGTCTGCAGTTACAGAGATGAACCCATTTCTGACCTATATACTGGGTTAAGAAACCACAAAGTTACTGCACTTTCTCTCCCTCAGGAGACATTCAGAAGTAGATTAAAGCAATCAATTAGCTGTGAGATGAGTTGGCGTCTTCAAGAACTGCTACAGATTTGGAAGTTTCGGCAGAAATTGAGTTATTCAGTGGCAGCTAAAAGTTGAAAATGTGTCTGGGCCGGCTTTGTCTCCTATAACCTTTAAGTTGTCACATCTATCCTTAAAACTACCTGCGTTAACGAATTAGCCAACTCTAAGCACCTTAATGCCTCAAATTTCATCATGTTTCCTCAGGCACTGTTTCGATCACTCCTGCAATATGAATCGGGTCAAGGTATAATCGCTTGGATAAATGAAATTTACGTAACTGCAACCAGTTTTAGCAAGGTATGCTCCGCAGGATAAGGTACTTACGTTTCCACGTTTACTCTCCTTCCCTAATACTGCAATTCCTCTTACCAAGTGTCAGTGAGCGGTCTGCCGGTTTCACTGCTTCAAGCACGTCAACGCTAGATCATAGCCCTGAGGTAATAGCTGAAGTGTCTAAATAATGAGAGTGCAGCAAACAGTTTGCATCAGGTAACTCCCTTCTGTTCCGTCTGCGTGTTAAGCTTGATACTCATGCAAGCGATGAAGTGAAGCAGAAAAAGTAAACTGAACCTCGTTTAAACGACACTTCAGGACTAAGGGTTTCAATGTAACAAAATTCTCGTAAAGGGTACAACAAAGGTAGCCTACATGTCTTATAAATCCTGAAAGTAATCGCATTCTGTAAGTTTTCACAAATTTTATCAAATCATTGAAAAGAATAAGGTAGATTTGCTTGAAATTCCTCCTTTTAAAAGTAAATTTTGCTTAAGTCAACTTTGGTCTGATGAATGCCACTAAGCGCATATAGAGAACCAAATTATTTAGTAAAGCATCTACTCAAATTTTTTTGTAAATCAGCGGCTAATTTTAACATCACTGCCTTTTAAAAAGATAAAATATTGAGCATTTATTTCATGTGCAATAACTTGCATAAAAGAATCTCATTTAAAATCACTGCCGTGGTATAGAGATTGATCGAGTTAGAAAAAATTACTCTAATGCTTCCTGATATTTAATCATTGCCATTTCAATTGAATGCTCTAGGCCAATGATTGGATGAAATAACTCGTCCGGTTAGCGATTATACGGCCGACAATAGACTGACCAATTACAACAGTTCATTGAGACACTAGTGACTCAACCGAAAATTGCTTTTAGTAGGGGATTACTTACCTAATATTCAAGACCAACTAATTCGTGCCATCATAGATATGTCACCACAACCTTTACACGGGCAGCTCTAACTCTCTGCAGTCAAAGCGCCTGCGATTTAATAAATATTTGGTCTACATGCTTGATAAAAACTACTGAGTACAAATTTCGTACTAAATAAACAGAACAAAATTTTGTGATTTTGAAAAGGCTTTCTTGTGACTCAGACGGCTGTGTGTATAGCAACGTACGAGTAACATCCTCCACATTCAACAGACAAAATTCAACGCAAGAGCACTTGACGGGCCTCACACTCAAAATCCGCTCAATTTAAGAGCTGCATCTTTGGTAAAATTTGTCATAAACGAGGCATTTTATTGAGCTATTTTATGAACTCTTTGACTTACTTAAATTCTACTTTTATAATTTTTAGTAGATAATTATTGTCAATATCAGTTTTCATTTCTGCTGGGTACTTTTCTTTGACGTCAATCACTTTTACACTAAGACTTTTTTGCATAAAATGGTTCTAATTTTTCTTTATTTAACATACACTTGATTTACCTTTACGTAGAAAGCGCTACCCTAGGATTTGAATGTTGTTTGGATGCTTACTGCCACTCACCCACAGCCCTAGTATTTTCTAAAGGAAGTGGATTTATAAAATGAATTGTTAATTATAAAATCTGTTATTTTTAAGTGATGAGTTGAACACATTGTTAATTTGCATTTAATTTGTGAGTGGACTTCAAAGCTTACCACTGAGATCCTCTTATGACAATAGAAAGTGAAACAAGTTGCAAAATTAGTAAAGGCTACTTGAAAGATGATGGTATTTACGAAGTGTCTCAAGTCTTAACCAAGGCGTCATTAGCATTATCTGCCTTTTAGTCACCCCTAAACTCTCTACACTTCAATCACGAAGCCATAAAACATAAGTGGGTTGATGATGTCGTGCTTGGTGATTGGCTAGCGATTCACAAATCAACAATAAGCAGTTCTCTTGAGATGCCTATAAATGTGTGAAGTCACTTTTGTTTCTCCATCACATCTACTGCAACCAATATCTAACATACTAAAAGCAAAGAAGTATGACGAGTAAGTCATATGGTCATTCTCTAACAATGTTTCAGCTTCTTCGGTATTTACAGTTCGACATATTCTGGGATTGGACGACCCGGATAAAACAACGCAAGTAGAATCCCCCTTTCCACCATTAACCAATATCAGTGGTTCGTTTGAATTTTATCTTTTCCATTTGTTTGCGAGTTTATACCTACTTCCTATGTTCGAGTCCCACCAGGTGGATTTAATTAATTGCACTTTATTAAAGTCTTCTGTTCTCGAATCGAATCGAATTTGAAAAGTTCACCACCCAGTAGTTGATTGGTTACGTCTCAAAATTTGCTGCACATATTATCCCCTTTAATTTATTCAAAAAATTTTACCTAAAAGTGTTTAAGTTTGTCTTTTGCCAGATAAGACATCAGCAAAACTCATACATGACCCATTCCTGATGTCACTGAGGTGATTTCAGTAGGCAACGCTTCAGTAGTCTCACTGTTTGTATTTGCGACCCTTTAGTACCTCTCATCTCGACTTTGCCTTGACTCTGGGCACAAGCATTTCCCCCCAAAACCTAAGAAATCATTTAATTTACCCAAATCGGGGGATTATTAATCGCTACATTCATCTTATAGTTAATATCACCCCAAATTACTTCTCAAACCCTGACTAGTTTATCCAAATGAGGAGGTGGCACTAGCAGCAGACTGATAATATCTAAAGGGATTTATCGTATTCCGGGTTCAACTCCCCCTTACATCACCGTTTAATGGTACACTCTCCTCATTCGTTGTAGGCTTTTAGCAAATCACGACTTGTTGACAGCTTAAGCATGTGCATTTCACACCCCCCGTTCGCCTTTTATTGGAATAGAGTATTCACTCATTGGTCTACCTAAAGGTTGTTCAATTAATTATTTGACCATGATAAATTAACTGTTGCTCTGACTTTCTAAGGTCTAATAGGGTTGTCACATTCCAAAAAGAGAGGTAAAAAGGCATGAAAATCTCCACAGCATAGATGCATAAAATCAACAAAGCACGGCGACGGAAAGACTGCTGACATTACCCACATTAACGCGTTTTATATGTAGAAACCAATGGTACTGAAAATCAAAGAACAACAGAAGAAGCAAACTCCAAACAATTTAAAGCATTTTCGATGTTTCCGAATCCGAATTTGTTAATGCTGAGGGCACAAATGCAGTTGCAACAAAACCACCGGACACTAGCACTTTCATCGCGACAGGATGATCGGCAAAATCAGACAAATTTTGTCGTATTGCAAAATTTACTTCCGCATCACCAACCGAAAGAGCATTTCTACCCGACGCCAGCTAGCAAGCAAGATCTAGAAGGTGCAGCGCTGGCGGACTTTCAATGCCAATCCAAGCGTCGTATTTTATTCAACAAATATCAAATTACCGAACTGGAAAAACGATTTAAATTACAGCGCTACCTTACAGCCCAGGAACGTGAGGAGTTGGCGAAGACTATTGGTCTGACTCCCACTCAGGTGTGTTCTGCCATCTTCAAAGGTCGACCTTGTCCTATAAGAAAGTCAATTTTTACGATGGTTCATCTTGATCTTTGTCGATGCAATTCAATTCAATTCAAGTTGCTTACTAAGTTACTCACATTGACAAAATGATTTCTTTGCCTATCCAAATCTCAAAAAGCTAAACAAATTATAATAAGCGTAAATTATACTAATTTTACGGTGTTTTTGTCTCAATTAGGTGAAAATTTGGTTTCAGAATCATCGCTACAAAGTAAAGAGGTCAGGTGATGATGCTACTGCAGCTTTTTCAATGCCGACAAAGTTTCTCCCTTTGAAGAATACACCACAATCCAACAGATTAGCATTTAATGGCGATGGCAACTACAAAGTAGACAGTTTTGAAGGATCGCTGAACTCATTCTCTAGGCCAAAATTATCTCAGGCGCCAATAGCAGTACGCAATTCGCAGCAACAGCAGCAGTGCTAGCTATTACCGTCATCAATGCTGACTCTATCATCGCAGGCTTGACCTTCAGCTGATGAAGTATATAAAGGTTGGGCAGATGCAGATCTGGAAGAGAGCTTGCAACCCTTCTCCAGAGCAAGACAGCTGACAATGACGAAGGCACCATCGAACGTTACAAAGTAATCTGGTTCACTGTCAGGTCGAGCCAAAAATGCCTGAACAATGACCTAACCATCGGTTTATAGATGCACCCGTAAATGCATTATTTTTTTAATAAAAGTTATCGGACGTGCTTTTTCAACCCAAAAAGTGGGCGGATTGTATGTAGCGAATTGATTGGGAATTTATCAACCCTAGCTGAGTTTTAGCGTTGTTCCGTGTTTTCTGTTCATCCTATCTCGCCTATGTCGTTCACTTGCTTCACGATTCCGTATCTAATTATAGGGAAATGAACATTAAAGAGCCTTAAATAAGTACTCGAGGTAGGTGATTTTAAAAGAGATCTTCTTATTCAATTCAAATAATGGAGCGTTTAGGCAAAATGAGAATCAGGCACTAGCATTGGTGGGTACTGATACAATAAATGAAGTTTAAGGCAAATGGAAAGTTAAACACTTTGATTTTATTCCAAAGTCTTTTCGTTTTCCATCACCACATGATGCTCGCGGTGCTCTAGGTTGATAATCTCCCACACTGCTTTCAGCGACACATGACAAACCAGATAGTTGACCTGATCAAATCAAAATTTGCACTTAACACTGATAGAATTGGTTAGCAATAAACACTTCTCCTTAAGTCATATGACTGAGGCGTGCCAAGCAAAGAATTGAACTTTGATTTAAGCACCAAAAACAGGGTGTGATAACTGTCGGTGCAGTGGGAGTATGAATGTCAATCACTTGATTTGGCAAGATATTCACTTGTTGAAATGAAACCAGTTTCAAAAATCATGTAATAGAATTGGATACGACTTTCGGGAATTAACTCCTCGTCTAAAACAATGACAAGTCTATTATTTGTCATTACCACCGATCTTAAGACTGCACGTAAATGAGTGAGGGGTTCTTTATGACACAGCGATAAAGAATCCACTATTTTTCGGAAAGAAATCTTTACTAATTACTTTCCAGCCTAAAAGTCCGATCAAAATTCCTCATTATTTGTCCATAAAAACAAATTAAAGTAACTTTTAAAATTGAGCCTTGCTATCTATTACACTGCGACAAGCAATTGGCATTCCACTTCACGTGGAATAAATTTAGTAAATAATTTTCCCAAATTTTTCATCTTTGTTAAATATCTCCCTAAGTAAATTCCTATTTCACTGAAGTTTTCTGATATGAAACCACCTGAAAAAATAAGGGACAATGGGGGAAGGAGAAGGAGATACCCCTTGCATATTATCTGTTTATTTCATATTTTTAGTTGTAATGCTCCAGCTTGCACCGGCAATACACGTTTTGGGCCAGAGGTAATCAGTAAAATATAAACCTCGTGGTGGTGTGGACGCCGTAGGTGGTTGAGGAGGTGAAGTACTCTAAACACGCGTTGCCGTGATACCTGTACTCCTTTCATTACCACTATGCAGGTAAAGGATGTCCTAGTCTAACCCCCGTTCGTTTCATGGGTTAAAGGGTGATAGGAAAAGAGAAACACCGAACCTATTACAGCAGTCTCTATCTTTTACAGCACTGTTTACTCTGAATTGCTAAGTTTTATTTGAACCCTCGCCTTGCCGTCACGACATTGGCATATTCAACTACGTCACAATTACTCTTAGAGGAAGGGAATGCTACTGCTTGTAGTTATGAGAAAATTTGGTTTCAGAGCATTCACCAGAAAATTAATTTATGCACCTAAACGTTTGAATTTATGTGTGCTTATAATAATTGTACCATTTTAATTGTACAACTTTCGGTTTTGGTAACAGGCCAATTCAGGGCTCCGCTACGGTACCTTTGCCGGGTGGCATGGCCTCTTGGTCATGACAGTAGCGCCTGAGCCCTTTCATAAGTTAAAAATGCGTGTTGTGGCCTAGTATTGTACGTTCTTTCGTCTCTAGGGGTTTGCTGGGGCACAACGGTAGTCTTGGATTGGCCTATTTACCATCCACTAGTAATCACTAAAGATGGATTGAGTATGGAATAATTTTCGGGTGAATCAGTTTACCTCAAATGCTTTGTTTTCAAAATAACAATTACCATGATTTTATTTTAACGAGTTATAGGCGCTTAAAATCATTTTTCATATAGAGAACGTGATTAAAATTACGGCTGGGTCATTGGAGAAATCCCCAAAATTTAGCCTTCTGATGCTCGCTTTTACACCGGCAAAGATCTTATTTTTCGCGCCACATTCAAGAGAAAACTAACTTTAAAAGCAACATGAATCAGCCGCAAGACTCAATTAGCGATTGAAAGGATTTGCATAGTTCTGCCCGCCTCCTCTCATGTCCAACTTCATCGGGTCCATTGTTAGCCTAAGTAACTGTCATTATGGCTAGAAGCAATTGAAAGAGTAATTAGGAATGAGACATCCATTTGCAAAAGGCAAACAAACCCACAAATAAGAATTATTTTAATAGTCTTAAGGTCAAAAATATTTTTTTAAATGAATAACTGCAGCTAGGAGAGGTAGTGGCTTGATTTTTTTCATTGCTCCCATAATTTTATCAAAGCAGCAGCTTTTAGTGTAAGAGCCTATGGGAGTCCTATGTTGTCATTTACTTTGATAAAAAGCTGTGAAAAAGGTGACTTTAAAAGGAAGTGTGTTATTTCACCGCTTTTGAGCTTACTTTGCCCTCCCAAATTAAGTGTCTTAGTTTTCGGCACATTCCGTAAACAAGGGTTAAGTTACACTGTGTTTCGACAAAAATAAAGCAGCATAACGAATATAACGTAATATAATAAATATGCTACCGACATATGAAAGGATAAAACCTTCAAAATGACACTTTTTATGTCGCATTTTCTTAACTGGGTTTTTTATGAAAGTATGTCGCATTTACTACTGAAAATTGGCTTAGTAACAAGTACTTCACTTCTGACCTAGATGTGGGAAGTGCAAGAGCTTTATCGGTTCAGGAGGCTATTTAATTTTGCCGATGCATTTTAATTTAACCTTTATCAACAGTTACAACTTGAGCATATTTTAAAGCAATTCAGTACTATGAGTCTTGTAAAATAAAAATCAGAAGGCCTCAAACCAGAGATTAAAGATTTCGCTGTAACTATACCTTAATCTGATAGACTTAATCCATTTTCAAAAGGGTACTTTATGACACCATTAAGAAGAACGTGAATACCGCTGGTTCTAGCAAAATCAGGTGATGAAAGACGTTTGTGCTGATCGTCGGTTTAACTTACTCTAATACCTTGTTGTATCGTAGTGGGAGCTTATAAAATGAGGTGTTTTCATGCGTTATTGGATAAATTTTTACCGATTCACCTGTGGTTTTCGTTGTCACAAAGTGACTTTTGAGCCTGAAGAATGTGATTCAGGAATGATGACTTGGTGCTGAAGATATTGCAGGAGCTATTCATCAGGTTTGTAGTATAGCGTCTCGAGAATGTGTGACGGTAAAACTGACCTCCCAAAACTAAATAGTTAGAATAAGGTAGCTCTGTTAATAAACAATTCAAAAGGTTATTAAAAGCATATAAGAAGTTCTTTTACACATCAGAACACTTCAAGTCTGGAAAGTTAAGAATGCCCTTTAACAAAAATCATTTTGCTCACCCATACATCAAAAGGAAGAGTTACGCTGATATCTACAAAAATAGGTCTCAAACTCACAGGAGGAAGATGCTGCCTTATTTCCCACTTGTAAACACAAATTCACGCTTATCCAAGAATTGTCAGTCGCATTTAACATTCACACGCTAAATAGGCAGGTGTCTTGGTATCGTTTACAGATGTTTGAGCCACAGAAAATTGTCAAAATAAGCCAAAAATTCATTTATTAATTGGAACAAAAAAATGCTTAAAACATTAGCTCTTGGCATATTAGGCCAAAAATAGAGTGTTTATGAATGAACCATTAAGTATTTGCTAACAAATTAAATAGAGAGATTTCAACACGCCTAGAATGAAGTCCAATGAAACGATTTTAGAAGTACAAAAATCATTCAACTCCTGTGCTCCAGACTGGAAGGTCGTACAAGATCTTCAGGGCAGCAGAAGCTACTACGAAGGAGAGCGTAGCATTGCAGTAGAGCACCCAGGCTACCAGTTCTACAGTTCTAGATGATTATAATCGTCCCACGCCCAAACTGCTAAACCTTGTTACCCTTTGGGTATAAATAGAAGACAGGTTTGTGATAGTGATTAGAGAATTCTACACGGATATTGAGCTTTACAAAAAAACGTCACAAAAGTCATTTTCTCATGGAGATGGCAAAATAAACGGATTTAATAGAGCTTGAACATCAGTAATACGGCGAGTTTATTTTTCACTCCTACTGGCTCCTGGTGGTTAATAAGAAAATTCAATTAATTTACCTCGACTATTTTGATTTTGGTGGTGGTTTTTGGCAACTTTATGTCAAGAAATTTCCAAATACACGACTTAACGCAGAAGAGTTTTTGAGGCAGACGCTAGAAGTACACATT